AGTGATAGCTCCGCCTTTTCCACCAGTTGCTGCCGACGACTTGATGGTGATAGCACCCGAGTTGCCAGCAGAGGATATGCCAGAGCTAAACGTAAGAGCGCCGCTTGTAGTAGATGCAGCTGATGCCACAGTGATCGCACCACTCGCAGCACTTGTGCCTGCACCACTTACGAGCGAAATGAATCCGCCGATTGTCCCTGTTGACTCGCCAGCAGTGAGGACGACGTTTCCGCCAACGCCGACGCCATTGCCACCATTAAGAGCAATCGAACCTCCAACTGCGCTTGAGGCAGTTGAGGTACCTGCAGTAACAGTGACTTCTCCACCAGCGCCAACTCCGCTGGAGCCAACTGAGAGCGAAATTGCCCCACCTGCACCGCCAGAGGCAACACCAGTGAAAATTTCAATGGCTCCTGTACTTCCGGCTGTGGTAGTACCAGTACTCAGGGCAATCTTTCCACTCACTCCACTAATGCCACCAGCAGCGGTTTGAATGGAAACATCACCACTTGATGTGGCCGTTCCACTTCCAGATTGAAGAGTCAAACTGCCCCCATAGTTGTCTGGAGAAAGTCCACCGGCGATTGTGACAGCGCCACCAACCCCAGTAGCACCATCGCCTGCCGAAATGGAAACTTCGCCGCCTGTGCCCCCTGCACTTGATACTCCACTTGCAATCGTGACCGCACCACTTGAGCCGGCAGCGGATGAGCCACTCATGATAGAAATGCTGCCACTAACACCCAGCGTTCCTGAATCGGACGACTTCAAGGACAGGGCACCAGAATCGCCAGTTGCACTTGAACCTGTCACGAGGCCGATCGCACCACCGCTTGCAACACCTGTACCACCACTGAGGTACACACTCCCACCAACACCAGTAGTTGTTTGAGTGCTGGCTCCTGCAGTGATCGAAACAATGCCTCCAGTCCCAACGTTGCCTGATCCGACTGTCATCAAGATCGAGCCACCGTTTCCACCAGTCGCGGTACCACTTCCAAATACCACGTTCCCAGAGGCACCATTGGTTGAAGAGCCACTGCTGAAGCTGAGTAAGCCAGAAACACCAGTGGTTCCAGCGCCAGGGCTACTGAGAAGAACATTGCCACTCGAAGTTGCGGTTCCAGAACCCGAAATCAACGTGAGGTCACCGCCAACGTTGTTCGCAGACTTCCCAGCCGACAGCAAAACACTACCCCCGATTCCACTTGCGCCGTCTCCAGCTGATATGGTGACAGCCCCGCCTGCACCGCCCGCGGTCGAAGCACCACTTGCAATGGTGACAGCACCAGTCGCTCCGTAGGCCGAAGTGCCGCTCGAAACAACCACAGTGCCGCT